GGAGGAAAAGAGATTAGATACTCACTCTAGTTTATAGTTACTCATCTTTTTTTTTCTCAAACCCCCTCCTCTCATTTTCAAGCAAGTCTTTCCACCCATTAATAGCCAGCTCATTTCTTGTTCCTGTCAGACTCAAGTTTTCCCCTGGTCTCCTGGGGATCTTGCACCGAAGAAGGCAGATGGTATAGTCCTTCCACTGCAGTCAGCAGGAGACAGCACATCAGTTTCCTCGATTTATGCTTCCCACAGTTTGGAAAAAGCATCAGGCTGGCAGCTGTCCTGGGCAGAGATGAGTCAAGGGTCAAGTGTCACACTGATGTGGGCAACTGCATGGCTCAGCCCTGACCTTTAACCTAGACCTGCACGTGGACAGCCCTGTACTGTTATGTAGAGGAGAAATGCAGCTGTGCAACCAAACAAAAAACCTCAGCATGGCTCTTTGATGGAAACAGCGGTGAATATAAGCCACCACATTAGAGACAATACAGCAGAGCAACAAGGCAGCAGGGATTAACATAGCATCTATGATTAAACAACCATTAGAACATGCAGATCAACATGAGCACACACATGACCTCCCACTTCCTCCCTGCCATATCCAGCCAACGCCCCATCAGACTCCCACGAGCCTGTCTCTGGTCTAAATGGGATCCTGATGTTCTGTTAAAGAAACCCCCACATCCACTCCCTGCCTTGCGTTCCCTTTAGCCAGAACCAAGGCTGTTAAATGCGGTTTTGCACTCCTCCCCTCGTTCTCAGCTGCTGCCGAGCAATGTTGACAAGAGGCAGCTGTTGTTGTGGTGAGAGGGTGCAAGTGATGCAGCAGGCAGCAACCAGAGGAGATACATAGATAAACCTGCAGATAACCAGACATATGGCCGGGGTCACCTTCAGCATGCGGGTATTAAATATGTGAGCGATTGCCTTTTTATCGGCCCATAGGTCTGCGGTTGCGGCTTGTGGGGAATCTATTAGCTAATTAACATACGAGGATGAGAACATTTGGAAACAGGAGCTGCAGCTAAAGACCCTGACATGTTGAGAAGCTGCAGAATGTCTGCACACAAGCTGAGGAGCCTGCCTTAAAAGACAGGAAGGGGGTGTCTGGGTCGAGAGCTGGGAGCCAGTTTAGACAACTGGTATCTTGTAACGCTCTAATAAAACTCTTCCCTTTTTACTAATGTTTCCCCGTGGAGACAAGACCCAAACTGAGACCGAGAGTTTGGCAAGCTTGCTGATAATAAGCACACACACACACACACACACACACACACACACACACACACACACACACACGGCCAGAAGTAATATGGAGACAGGTAGGCTCACAGAGTAAAATACCTGCAATATCTTTTTTTTTTTCAAACTCTCCTTGGTAATAATGATTAATAGCTGAACGTAGCATGTATGTGCTGGGGTGACCCCACTGTCCCTGGCTTTATATGTGACGCTGTATTTCTGGCATCTGTTGCTTTCAGCAGAAGCTCAGATCCAGGTGTCTTGTCCTTAAGGCAAAGTTCTCATGTGCAGCACGTATTTGTAGTTTATCTATGCTGGTGTATGAGGTGCTGAGTGACACTCCCTGTTCCATTTTGTCAGGATGTGTCAACACCCTCATTGCCTCTACTTTTTATCCCTCTACACCTCTCCCTCCTGACTCTTTTTTAGATGTGTGTTGCAGCTCTCACAAGGATGACACTTTTTTTTTTCTTTTCTTAGTCAAGGTGTTATTCTATCTTCAAGGCGAAGGCTAACTGAGAATGAGTTGAGTGAATTTCATGGAGAACACAAGACTTCAAAGTGGGTAAAGGCCTAAATGGTCAAGTTACATGCACTCATACAAAACAGATTCCTTCATGTGTGAGTGATGGCATGCAACATTTTGATGCCCTTTACTCAAACCCTTTTGGATCCATTGTTGAAAACATGATAAGATTAAATAAATTATATCCATCTAAGGGCAGTCGCGGCTCAAAGAGTTGGCAGTTTGTCTTGTAACCGGAAGGTTGCCGGTTCGAGCCCCGGCTCGGAGTCTCGGCCGTTGTGTCCTTGGGCAAGATACTTCACCTGCCACCTACTGGTGATGGCCAGAGGGGCCGATGGCGCGATATGGCAGCCTCGCTTCTGTCAGTCTGCCCCAGGGCAGCTGTGGCTACAACTGTAGCTTGCCTCCACCAGTGTGTGAATGTGAGAGTGAATGAATTGTAAAGCGCTTTGAGGGTCCCGAAAAGCGTTATATAAAAATGCAATCCATTATTATTATCTATTTCTGAGAAAAGCCAACAGAAGGCTTTTTTCTCGTTTTAGTGCTAAGGAGCGGTGCTGAAGTAAATGCATCCAAACTACATGAAACAGATGCACAAATCCTGAGAAAATATCTTTTTTACAAAGTAGTTTTATAAATCACTGAAGCAACACATATGCCTCAGACACTTTTAGTGCAACTGCAACACATTCATCCGTTGCAAACATTTCAGATCATTCAGTCGCAGGGGAATACGGTATGGGTATGATTTCATTTATCACAAATCCATTGGCTCCTTCAGTGCAAAACAGGAATATAGCTGCAATAAATTTTCAAAAAATGGAAAACAGAGATTAGTCTGCACATGCAAACTATAGAAATTACACAAGAAATGGACTGAAAATCAGTACCTATTTCTCAATAAATAGAAGCTTTTGTGTAGCACTGCATATACTGCTAAAAAGCTGTTTCCTACTCTTTTTCTTATTTGTAATTTGGGTGAATTGAGATTTTTATATTTCACATTATTTTTTGTTGCTCACCGAGCAGAAAAGATGTGTTAACCCAGATTTCCAAACACAGTAAACAAAATAAAAACCATTAAAAAAAAAAAAACATAGTCTGCCGCTAAAGCTACATTCTGCTCTATTCTTTTATCAGGGACTTACTGCCTAAGTTTCCTGACATGTTTAAGGGACTTACTGTTGTCTCTCTGGCTGTTCTTCTTCTGCTGTAATTCTGGACTGGCTCCTTCACTAATTGAGTGAGAGTACTTATTTGTATCCTGTTGGCCAAACAAGGTGCTGTCACACACACAAAGACTCGGAAATATATAGCTGTGGACATGGACACACAAAGTGGCTCCACTTGTCATGTGATGCAAACCTTGTGATAGCTGATGTTGTTACAGGAGACACATTCCAGTAGGACTTGTTGGGAGATCTTAGGTGTGAGCGTGTGTTTTTGTGTGTGTGTGCAAAAAGCTGAGCTCCTTTAAACCAGTTTGTCCATCAGCAGGTCTCAATGGCATAACTTCACACCTTCAGCAGCAAAACCACAGAATACATCCTATTACTGCTATTTTTTGCCCCTTTGAGTCATCTGCTAAAATTGTGGTTTCCACTATCAACTAGCGTCTGCAGCCTCATCAGCTCTTTTAACAGCAACGGAGGACACTGAAGTCCCATCAGCTGCTTTGACCATGTGGCTCTAATAACAGAGGTTTTTATATGTGGAGCTGGGGGAAGGGTCACTTGTTATCAAAAAACAAGGAGAAGTGTGGAAGGGCTGTGGGGAGAGTTCTCCACTTAAATTTTCTGCATGGGTGTTACTGCCAGCCATCTGACTAACTAAAAAAAATCTTCTTGTCTGCATTTATAAACTCGAATTGAGTCATAATCTGCAGTTCGTCATTGAAGCCGACTACCTGGTCTCCATAGAAACACAGATTTTGAGCATATTAATCTTGCACTTCACCAAATTAATTGTGTGGTTAATACCTGCTGCCTTATGTAAACACTATATTTCAGTTTTATCACTTATGAATTATTCATAATGAAATGTATTATTAAAAGAGGCCCACAGAAAAAACATTCTTATACATTTAGACTCAGGCTGAACAACACTTTCCCCAAATTATTCATGAAAAGGGGCCCTAAAAGCTCCACATTAGAGCTCATACACACAAATAATGCCGATATATTGCAAAGTGGAAAAACTACCTTCCCTGCACTTGTGAGGGATAACAAAGAGAAAGGGATCTTTAAATCTAGTATATGATTATAATTCTTTGTGGATTCACTGTGAAGCCTCCCTCTCTGAGTACCAACCTTTTAGACTCCTATTTGTAAAAGGAAAGGGGGTTGGGGCTAATTTCTTGACTTCATTTTAGAAGTCTATCTTGGTTTGTTCAGTAGGTCTTAAGGAAACTGTTTTTTCATAGAATGTAGATACTAAAAAGTGAGGTTATTGACTCTAAACCCTACCCAGACTAATGCGTTATTCAATGTATCTTGAAATTTTATATGCTAGACCAGTGATGTCAAACTCATTTTAAATTGTGGGCCACATATAGGGGCCCACTCTGAAATTATGTGGGCCAGACACTATATGATAAATGTGTAAAATTACACTGCAATGACTGACCTGTAATTATAAAATATAAGGTTCTCATTAATTCACAGAAAATGTCCTTAAAGAAACAAAAAACAAAACACAACAAAAAAACTGCGGTCTCACTGTAATAGTGGGAAAACAGAATTTTCCTGTTATTTAATTGTTTATCTGTTAGTTAATTACTTTGTTTAAAAGTTAAAAGTTCAAAATCTATGCACTCCTTCACATTTTCTGAAGCTGTCCAGTGGACCGGATTGGAATCGTTGCCTGGCCCATTCTGGCCCTCGGGGCTTATGTTTGACTTTCCTGCGCTAGCCCAAAGCATTAATCAGCTAAGAAACCTATCAGCATATGGATCATAAAAATACAGTGTGGTTTCAGCCCTGATTAAAAATGGGTATTATAATAGTAATCTCATATGTTTTAACTATAGGTGCACATTAGATATGCAGAAAAGTGATAAAATACAGAAGAAAAAGAAATACGACGTAAAGCAGCACACGTCAAAAGCAGATGCATGGATACTGCGTATACTTGGGTAAATACACGTATCCTGGGTACTTTTGAACGCTGGTAACCTGGGTTACTAATATACAGGCTGCTAAAGAGCTGAAAACGTAAGCCAGCCGTCACTCTGCCGGAGCCTCCGCCCCGCCGGTATGTTCACGGGAACTCCCCCCTAAGTTCCCCGGCTCTCTTCTCTCTGCTCATTCTCTCCATGAGCGTTCACACACGCATACACACAATCCCTCTCTGTCACACACACGGAGCCTCTGCGTGTTGAAGCAAACCTCCGTATGCTTTCTCCGCTCTTCCCCGGCTACCCGAAAAGCGGCTGTTCGGTTTCGCAGTCTGCGTCGAGCCTTGTCGTGACAGAGTTTGGAAACGGCTGAAGGAGTTAAGGAGGGGAGACGAAGGTAAGCGATGCGGTCAGAATGAGCGCTTTCCCTTGTCCCTGTTCGGAAAACTTTACCGTGCGATTACCGCCGTCCCCGCTGCATTGTAGGGGTGGTGATGGGGGGTCGCCTGTACCATCAGCTGCGGGGTTTTTCATAACTGGGGCGTGTTTATTGGGGTATTTGTCTTTGCGCGCGCGTAATGGTGCGTGCAAATTCGCACAAGTGCCCTTTCACTTCAGTGGAGGATCCTCCAGTCGTGTGAAAGGAAGTTTGGAGATTGGACGCGCAGATTGTAGCGGATCTTTGAACCTGCCCGCTGCAAACAGCACGGAAGCTGTGAGCGAAACCTTGCGGGAAAGCTGCTGAAGCGCTCAGGTAACTTGACTTTGTGGCGTAAATGAACTTAACGTCTGGATTTAAAAGCAATTCTGTAAGTTATTTTGATCGTATTTATGATGCTCTGGGTACTATAAACTATTTCCCCCACGTTGGGAGTCCAAGAGCCTCACAGAGAACGACTAATTAAAGGATTTATGTAAAATGCCTTTTTTCTGAGTGCACAGTGCATAATTGTTAAATAAATGTTTACTCATATAGCACCTTCCACGCGGAAATACACGCGTGAAACATTTTTAAACCAAAAATTGCTGTTTATTACTATGTGTCTCCAATATGGAAACGACACTCCCATAATGTGTTTGTTTGTGCGCATATATGTTTGTGTGTCCGTGCCACTGCGGCGATATCCTGTCATATCCTGTGAGGTGGGGGTCAGTCACAGGGTCTCTCCCCCGGTATTCTCCTAGAATAGATGTGACACACACACACACATGCACATAAGCACACACACTATGAGAGGCATCTTCTGTTATAATTCCTGCCTTTTCTTTTAGTGATGACCCGTAATGACCTCAGTTCTTAGATTTTTGTGCCCTTTGAAGCCCGCTGTAGCTTACACACCTGAAAGACACTTTATTTTAAAAAACCAACAAATAACACTTTCCCACCTGTGACATTGTCAGAGTGTGTTTTTTCTCATTGATGCTTTGCAGTACATGCGTTATCTCCTTGCATCTACTTCACCATTTGATTTCAGTCCCGGCTATGCACGAGTGTGTAATTGTATTATCTTGTTTTCTAAGTAGTTCTATAGGTGTTTATCAAAATACTGATTCAACTTATTGCTGGAAATGAATAGCTTAGATATAAAAGTCCATTAGTCACAGCAGAAAAGCTTTTATTGTTATATTCCTTATTCCAGGCTTTGAAAATTATTATTTCTTCATCCCTATGAGCACGGAGATGCTCATAGGGATGCATTTCTGAAGGACTGTATAAGCAATCAACACAGTCCAGGGCTTGACATATAGCCTGTCAGTTGTATAGCTATTCCTTTTATTGTAGAGTGGAGAGTGGTAGGAATGAGTCAGAGAGGGGAGCAACAAACCAATTCTTTCTTGTGGCTCCCTGGCCTGTTCACTGGATGTGTCTGTAAGATGATGGATGTAAGAATTTGTGTTTGTGTCTGTTTGTGTGTGTGTGTGTGTGTGTGTGTTAGAGAGAGAAAGAAGGAATGAGAGGATCTTGTCTGCCGTAACTCGAGCCTGGCTGGACACACTGACTCTTTAAAGGCCACAAAGACTGCTCTGCTTGAACTCTTGGGAATGTGGATGTTTGGGTGTGTGTGTGTGTATATGTGTTGCATCACCAGACCTTGTCACATTTTCACATACTTATCTTGTTCTAATCATCAGTGACAGATGTAAAATATTTGTTTTTCATATATATCTTTTTAATTTAAGTTATTGTATTCAGTAAGTAATTGACTCATTAAGAGTCTCGGGGCTTGGCTTTTCAAATGTAAAGATTTCCTGTTTTGTGTGTGTGTTGTGAATGGAAAGGAGGCACTAATTCAGCTTTTCCTTTCTATGCTCAAGCTGATTTCGAAACTCCTTTAATGATTTAGTAAGTTAAGGTGAAGAAACACTAGCTGACCGCAGTAAATTCAAAACAGAACCGCACAGCAATGTTGGACTCATAACGTTTGGCAAAAAAATGTGCAGTATATGCACGAGATTCCTTTTGTGTTCAAATTTAGTTGGCATAACTGTAACTAAGCAGACCGGGAACTAGCAAATTTAGAAAGGACATTGATTTTTTTTTTATTTTAAATATGAATTGTTCTCGTCTGATACTTGATCTGTTTCAGAAAAGAAGAGTCTGACTTTTTGTTAGGGAGTTAAAGTTTATCGATACATTGGCCGATGTACCTTTGAAACATGCATGCACGTTGTTATAGTTATATGTGAGAGAGAAAATTGTGGAGTCATTCTTTTACTTTACAGTAGTTTCTTTGTCATACTAATTAGCAGCTGTACACACTGAGATTGTGCAATAACATAAATTACTTCTAGTGTCTTTTCCTGCATCTTCTTTTGTTGAAAAGGTTCACAAACAGTTTTCATATCAGCATGCATTGGACAGCATATACATCAATACTATATATCTGTGACAGACCAGTGTATTAATTTAGGACTTTGTTGATTTAATAAACAATATTTTTCATTTGTTTCAAATAATTGTTGAGTTCATTTTTAGAGCCAGCACATCAATTTATAACGTATCTCTTGTGTAAGCGTGTGTGTTAGAACACATTTAATAGAATGAATACTATTGAGAGAACAAATAAAATTTGCATGTGCATGTTTTTCTTCTTGTCACCAGTGGGCTGAGCAATGCTTTCCCCTTGTGAAATGTGATGTTAAGTTAGGTCACGGCCTGAATCAATGGGTAAACTTACACTACATGCACAAAAGAACTGGGCCACCTACACATTACACGTACATGAGCTGCTTGGTCTTGAAAACCCGGAGATTTGGAGCTCTGCAGTTGTTGGGTCAGCAGTGATTTAATGACTTTTAGACACTATATGCCACACCACTCACTCTGAACCTGCTCCGCAACTTTACATGGGCTGCCACTTTGTGATTAAGTTGATCAGGCTTCTAATCACTTCCACCTTGTAATACCGCTTATTGTTGATCATAATATCTCGGAGGGAAGAAATTTCATGGACTATTGCAATCTCTTTAGAATGGCCCTTCTTTCACAAATGTTTGTAAAGGCATTTATGATTTTATACAACTGAGGCAATGGGCCTGAAAACACCAACATTGGAAGATTAAGAGGTGTGGTCAAATACTTTTCAAATAGTGTGTCTGAGTCTCAACCCACAGGAGGAGAATTAGTACATTCACACTTAACAGGGGAATAATACTTTATACACAACAGGTACTTTGTAACCGCAGACCCTTTTGAAACCCTGCACTATAACCTGACATGTACCTCCCTAGAAATGTAGCTATATGTTAGCGTCAAAGCCTGCACAGGTATGGCATCAGAGTAAACTGCATTGCAGGCTCTACATATATTCACCACTAGTATAAAGTAAGTGTGAGAGCGTGAGAGAGGCCGGGCAGTTTGGGTTCTTCTCTCTTCACTGATTAGCGACGGTTGTTTCCTTTTATATTAAATGATTCCAAAGTGTTACAGTTCTTGATACTGAGAAGCTGAGATTTCCTGTCCTATTCTATCTTAATCCATCATTTGAAAGTGTACATTTGATGATTATTCAAGTGAATACAGTCCTGGTCCCTTCCTCTTCTTTCCTTTCACCTGCATATTGCAAAGGAGATTGGTTTGTTATTATTCTAACTATTAATTATTTTAACTTCTCTTTAAGTTGATCACCTACTTTGAGTGGAACGGTGGGTGGATAGGCGAGAGAGAGTTTGGAACTGTATTTATGCGATTTCTCACCTCACAGATGTGTGTCTTTTCGCAGCTGCCTGTGTGTGTGGATCTTTGCCCGTGTGTGTGTATGTATTTTTGTGCGCACTACTAAGGGTGTGTGATATTAATCTGGTTTTCGTCCAGTTCTCACATAGGCGTAGAAGGACAGTAAGTGCCTAGCAACAATATCCCCATTGGAGTACTTTGGGAGTGTCCTGATGTAATTTAGTAATGAATGTGGTTGTGGTGGGTTCACACAGACAGATGTAGCTTGGCTCAGTGGGCTGAGTCACAAACTGCAGACTCACACTGTCCTGTTTGATTCTTGTTCATGTTTGGTCTATTTATAGCTGTTTTAGGTATTAAGTACAACATCTCTTGTTACCAAGGCAAAGGCAACAAATAACAGATTAACTCTGAATATAAATCACCTGTGGGAATTTGACAAAGAGAGTTTGATGTGAGCATATGATGTTTATATATGATGCTAATATTCCATATGTCTGAAAAGCCACAAATATAACTACTAATTGTGTGAATTCCTCTACTTTCATTGATTATGTCTGTGCTTTATGAGCGATGCAATTATTATTATTTTTTACAGTACCTTGTTTTTTTTCCATTGTTAGAGAGGATTTTTGAGGAACTCGTCATTATCCAAGCTGAGGATGGAAGGTGCTATTTTTGCAATTTGTTGAAAACTCAGATTTGCGTTTGGGGATTTGCGCTATATAAAAATATGCAACTTTATTTGATTAAACTTGTCTCCGGGGCTAGATTGGATTTTAGGATTATTTATTTTCAGAGGTGTGGGATGTGAGTGGGGTGTTATATTACCTATAAGTGTGTGTGGTTTTTTTTGTTTTGTTTTTTAAACTTTCTTTTCATTTGACTTTTTTAACAATGCATTCAGTGGGAATGTCCATTAAACCTTCATCTGGTGTCATGCGCTGTTCTTGTGCTGTTACTCTAGGGTTATTTTTGCCTCTTTCAGCTCAGGAGGGAGATTTTAGAGCTCTGAGAAACTAACCTTACTAATTTCATCAAGATTTAACTGAATTAGGATTTGGAGGCCTCTGCTGCAAAGTAAGATTGTGGAATTCGAGTAGCTCAAGGCATTTAGTAACCAAAGGTCTAAATAAAGGTGCTCCTGCAGTTTGGGGAAGCCTTTGTATCCTGTGTTTTAAAGAGAAAAAGTAGAAGTGAGGGTCTTTCAGTCTTCTGACTCTGTTTTGACCACTGGTTCTTTAACCCATCCATCCATGCATTCATCCATCCATCCATGGACAGGGTGTGGGGTTTGAGTCAGTTATTCCCAAACCACCCTAGGGATTTATTCTCCAGGTTGCCTCCTGACTGAGGTGAGTCCAACTGGGTGGAGACCCTGGGGGCAGAACCAGGACACGCCTGTTCTTTAATCTGTTTTTTATAACTTTGTGAAAATACAACACGTTAAAGCATATTTTTTTTAAAAAGTAACAGTAACACTGATGGACATAAAAAATGTGTATTGCACATTGCAGTTTTTCACTTTTGTTTCTTCTCATGCAGAATTCTGTAAACCTACATCTCTTTTTAATTAG